TTGAAACTCGAGCCTTGGGTTCCTCGTCCACCCGATACGCACAAAAACAATGAAGTAATAAATCAGTAAGTAAGTAATTTGTTTATTATAGTGTCACACAATGCATACAATAATAGCAGTGTCCAGCCCATACCGACTTACGGGACACTTTGTTCTAAAATCAAATCATTAAAAATACTAAATAATTAAATATAATTAATAAAGTAATAAAATACATTTAGATTAAAGATACATTATGGGAGATTTTAATAGAGAGTTGGCCATTCTTGCTATAACAGATCAAAAATAGATGATGAAAGAAGAATATATTGAAAATTTCAGTCAAATTACTTTATTCTGAACAAAGTTATCACTGTTGTAATTTTTGACTAGAAATAGGAGTCAACTCTCTGTTCACCGTCTCCGAGAATGGACGAACGTTTGATTGACAGGCGTTAACTCCACCTACATAATCTCGATTATCAAGTAACGTTTTCAATGGCGGTGGTTTGAGACGGGGTTGCAATTCAATTCGTATCACATTTATTTTTACTACAAATTAAAAATAAGACTTTTAATATATAGATAAGAAGCGAAAGTTTGAAATGAATGGACCAAATCAATGAGGCATAATTATAGCCGACTTATTGTTAGCCTGCGTGTACTCTTGTACTGTAACTGGTAGGCCTGCGTAACTCCCGAACAGTGATCCAATGGAGCTGCAATTCAACTGGGGTGATGTTAGCTGCGATGTTTATAAATTTCTATAATTTTTCTGTAAACGCAAGTGACAAAAGAGCGTAGCCTATAATACCGACATCCAAACTCTCATTTTAACCACAACTAAACATAATATCAAGGCCGTATATATCGAACTTTCAATCAAATTGACTGACATGCGGCCTCGCTCAACAGCGGCCTCGCTTCGTACAATCTATCATTTAGCCTCGATCTAAAACTATTTCCGGGAGTATGACGTCAACGTAACGGTTAATCTCCGCTTACGAAGCCATTTAAAAATTTAATCAATCAACGAAATCCTGTTTAAATCCAAGCCGAATCCAAGCCATCCGTGGGTCTACAAAGTTGATTATGTGCTTGTTGTGTAAATAAAGATCTAATTTATAATTTCTATGACATCTGAAGCCTAAATAAAGACTTGCAATAATCAGATTTAGCTCTTGCATAATGTTTGATTAACCGTCTCCTTCGTTTTAACATGTTTAAAAGACAATTAGCAAGAGTATTACAATATTTAAAAACATTTCTTTTGAAGATATATTCTTAACATCCTGATTTACAAATAGTTTCTTCAGTTCATTAGTCATTGCTACAACAGATAATAATTACAGGTGACTGATTTCATTGGTCGGCTACGTTCACTTGTCGACTAATAAAAAATGTCGATATGATACAGTGTTTTACTGCGCTATACTTTTGTGTGTAACTCGAACAAGCACGGATTAAGAGATTGTCGAAAATGTATAGTTTATTTAAACGCGAGCCACAGAGGGGGGGGGGGGTAACTGCTACTGCGTATCTCAATGGAGATAACATTGTGTCAGGTTTGACAGAAGAAAATACGTGTTTTATACCCCCTCTCTCCACCCCCCCTCTCTCTTGTAATTAACTCATGCTTATTGTTTATTGTGATGCGATGCTTTGCCACCGCCTAGGGATCTTTGCTTGTTCTACCATTGAATATAACTGTCATCATCGTAAATATAAACGAGTCTCCGTTCCTACTTTACTGCACCAAGCCGGCAATTGAAAACGTAGTGGTGTACTATGATGACAAATATATTTTGCACAGCTTGCAAGTTCTTTGTAACGTGCAAATCAATGCAGCAATGGGTTTTGTCTACAACAAGATGGACTGACGCTTCCTTTTTGTTTTTACCAGCGTTGCATGAACTAAACATGTAACCCAGTCAATAACCCCAATAACTACCAAGACACACATATTGACAATAATCTAGTGACATTTATCTTTACTTTTGAATAAATATGGCTACTAGAAACACAAGGCAGTGATATATTTATCAATTTTAAATCACAAACAATCAATCACTCGCGTTATTTGAAATAGTTCTTTCTCTGAAAACCGGCACTGTTATATTATTACAATCTATTAAAAAATATACAGTAAGGCGAAAGTAGGTTGAATTGGTCAATGAAATTAATAATTGTATTTCTGGTAAAAAGAAAACCAGTTTTAAAGTAGCAACCATTGTTATTTTTGTTCGGTTTCTAATGACATTACTGTAGATCGATGCGTGATGTATTTGATCACTTCATCGTGTCTGATAACTTCTGACAGTGCTAGGTATCAAATTAGAATATCCTTGTTTCTTTGGTCAAGTGTTAAAAATGTATTAGAAAAAACGATCTTGTTAGAATAAATTAAGTTTAAGATCAGGTCCCGAGTTTACAAAACATTAGTTAGTTAAGAATTTACTCAACTTTCATTCACTGTTTATGAGAAATATCTTTGATCCAAAAACACAAAACATTTCACATAATTTCTTATTCGTCGATTTGATACATTAAAACAACAAAGGTTTTATAAAAGGCCCTATTTTAGTTAAAATAAGGCAGATGATTTTGAGTAAATTCTTGTGAGCTAGAGGCCTGATCTATGGCATGAATATCACGGACGGAATATATCTTTCAACGGAAGACGATGGATTTCGAGGAATTGTGTGGAAAATAGATATATAAAATGCATGAAATAAAGTTCCTTTGCTCTATATGCAATCAATCACGTTAACCTCGGCTACTTTAACTGACCCCAGAACATTAGAGATCAGAACCGTATCAATGAGCAGTAAACAAACACGACCCGAGAATCAATATGGTTCAATTACGCCCTTCCAGTGAAACACTATATTATATTCGTGTTCATTGTTTTTTTATGATTTCTAGAAATAAAAATCTATAAATGTAAAAAAGACGTCAATCAAAAAACAGTTTTGAAATGAAAAATGATTGTAGGATATTGAGAAAACATGTGGATTGGTATAAGAAAGGATTATGAACGGTTATTTAGGTCATTTCTAATATCTTTGTTCGTCAACTTTAAGTTCAGTTTTTTAATGAACGGTTGAACTATAGATTTTCTCTCAATCCGCCTGATCGTTATTTGTATACGCCCTCATCAACTATTGTCTCGTTAACGTGCTAGATTTCGTTTTTAAATTTTGTCTGAATCATCGGTTAAAGGAGATATAAAAAAATATTTATATTAATTATCGTTTCGCATCTTATCGTTGTTAAGTCATCTCCCCTTTACCGAGAATGTGTTATTGAGAGTAAGGGAGAGAGATAGAGTGAGTGGGTGGGGGGGAGGGGTTAACGTCTACTCGAAACAAACTAGCTCATGTCGGGACTAACAAACAGTTGAATTTATTTCCATAATTTGCTTGCGCGTACGTATCTTTAGTAGTGGGAAGCAAGCGGAGACAGGGAATCGAAACCACGCCACGATTTAAAACGCACCTGGTAAGCTATTGGGTCACCAAACCCCTATATTTCACAAAAGACTAGAGTTTCTAACAGACTTTTTTTTAAATGTGGGGGACCACATTACCCCCAACCCCACACATACCAAAAAATTGGTGTACATCAATAGGACAGTGAGACGATACACCCTATTAATTTAATGTGTTAGCTAATCAGTGATAAACACATTCTCTGTTTTGGTCAGCTAATCAATGATTACATCTTTCAACAATCGGAAGTGACGAAAGCAAAAGTAAAACACGAGTTATCCCTCTATATAACTGACTGAAATGACGAGTGGTAACAGATACATGAGCGAATTTCTGCTCACTAATAATTCCTTCGAAGACCAAAAGTTGTTATATGAAACTGTAAGAGGATATCTGACAATTCAAAATAAGTAATTGAATGACATTAGATAAGAGAACACGGGAAAAAAGAAATAGTCCGTACATTCCCTTGTGTTTATTCATTCTATACTTATAAAAATATGGTAATGGACGGACTTTTTCTGTTTGTCTTTCATGTTCTCTTATCTAGTGACAGTCAATTTTTTATATGAATTGTCGGATATTCTTTCACAGTCTCACACTACAACTTTTAGTCTTCGAAGGAATTATTAGTAAGCAGAAATTCGCCCGTGTATCTGTTATCACTCGTCACTTCAGTCAGTTATATAGAGGGATAACTCGTGTTTTCCCTTTTCGTTCGTCACTGTGATAAAATAATATTTGGAACGTGTTTAACCAGTTCTATCACATTATGTGATAATGACTGGCACCAATATTGTCCTTTAATAGGTATCTTCGACCCCCGGTCTTTTTTGGTATGTTCGGTATTTACAAAGATGTGGTGAACTGAAAACCTGTCAACATTTGGCAACCACTCCTGACGATATTTACTATCAGAGGAAACCCATTCTGTTCCATCTTTAAGTTTCGCTGAAATCTTTTGAAGGGCATCTTTTTATTCAGACTGATCAATCCAAGTCGAGAATTTGTATATCGAGGATTAAAGATACATTATGGGAAATTCGATAAAGAGATGGCAGTCCTCGCTATAATAGTTAAAAACTAGATAGTGTAAAGGTAATTTGCTGAAAATTTCAGTCAAATTGATCCACTATGAGCCGAGAAAGAAGCGGGTGAAATTTTTGCATAGTCTCGGTCATCATTACTAAAATCATTAATATAAACAGCATAGTCTCGATTATCCACTGTTTTGATTTAATTATCAATGGCCGTTAAGCGGCATATCGGAATCTAATCCAGCCAACATCGAAGGCTAGCCTTGACATCGAGAGTTTATTATGGTCTGGATAAGTTAATTAATGTCTAATTAATAATTTAGATAACATTTCAGGCCTAAAGAAAGACTTGTAATAAGCAAATTTTGCTCTTGCATAATGCATGTTGAAGCCGTGAACAATATAAATGACGGACCATGAGTGAAGTTAAGGAAAATGGCGGGTTTCGGTGTCGACATTATGTGGTCAAATGTGAGTACAAAGACTAGAGTTAATATTTATTTCAATTAGTTTCAGTTTTCTACGATTTAACAAGTTAGTGTATGCCCAGCAACATCTGTCCATACAGCCGTACAACATTTTCCTTTCCTGTAACGATAGTAATGGCCATATAGAATAATGAAAACATAAATAGAAAGACAGAAATGGGGTTTAACGTCCACTCGACACAAACTAGGTCATTTCGGGACTAACAGTGTAATTTTATTTCAATAATTTGCTTACGCGTAGGAATCTTTAGCTGTGGGAGCAAACCAGAGGAACCGGAGAAAACCCCCGATGTTGGCCAAGCGACCCCAATCCTTGACACGTACAAACGGGGAAAATCGAAATCACGCCAGATGACTCAATGACAGACCTTATGATATCTCTTGGATAAAATTGTCCATATAATTGGGTTTTATTTGTTGTTTTGGCGTATGACAGTTGACAGTTTTAAGTCATGCAGAGTGTTATGATGGACACTGTATGTTTCAGAACAATCACAATATGTTGACTAAAAATACAGATGTGACGCCCCCCTTTGATGTTGGCGTACCATTATTTCAAATAATCGTACGGGAAACTTGCCGATCGTACATTTATACTAGTGAAATATTGGACTCGCGTGACGTATTTCACTGTAGAAGCACGTGCGGAGTGTCTGTATTTTAAGTCGTTTAATGGTCTCGAGCTTAAGACATTGCGTAATATATTGTAAAAACACTCGGGCCTAACGCCCTCTTGTTGTTACAATATATTACTTAATGTCTCGCTCTCGACCATTAAAAAATACATATTACCAACTGAATATTGCGGTATTTAGCGGGCTATTGACCCCTATACGCTTCCATAGTACAGGGAATAAAATTCTACACCAGGTCGTCTAGTAATTTGAAGCCCACGATAGTATCACTGGCACACTCTATTGCGATCAACCGTTGACCTCTTTGTGCCGCTCTCTTGTAACAAAGCACTGTGGGTCTGTGGCATCGGTGAAAGTTGTGAAATTTGTGACATGAGGTCGACGATATCCTCACTGACTGCGACCCTGTATCCTAGTTTAATCACCATTCCGTCTATGTCCATGCTTGTGCGGTATCAGAATAATTAAATGTTATTAATATATTTACTTGCAAGTGGCACCATGACCCTGGGGATAGGTACATACTTTACAGGGGTCAGTAGCACACTTTGTTGGACAATTATTTTTGTCACCTAATTGAAAAAAAAAGAAAAGCATGTAAAAAGTTAAATTCTATATCGAATTAGATTTCGTCTCAATTCTTTTACTCTGCGTTGTAGTTTTTATATGTATGTGTGTGTGTGTGTGTGTGAGAGAGAGAGAGAGACCCTGTTATTTCGGGACTAACATAATGTTCAATTTTATTTCAATAATTCGCTTGTACGTAGGGGTCTGTAGCAGTGGGAGGAAACCGGAGGACCCGGAGAAAACCCACGAGTCTTGACAGGCGACACTACTCTTTGTCACGTACAACCGGGGAATCGAAACCACACGCGTTGACTCAATGACAGATAGTTCTTATGTAGTACAGCATAAGCCGAAATGAAATGAAATGGGGTTTAATATCATTTTGTTCTGTATCAGCCGCGCGGCAAGTAATCAAGACGGCCATGTGGCATATATACAATGTGCATAGTTGAATGCCCGTACATCGGCATACCGATGTGTCTGCGGGACTTCCGTTTTTCGTCTCATCCAAGCGACTCAAACAATGCAGGATAATCTAGAAGATTAAGAGTGTAATTTGCAAATGTAATATTATCTTTTAAAGAAAAAAATGGAGAACTTACCGTTACCCAGATGCGAGAGGAATTCTAAAAGTCTTTTGCGTGGTGCTCCTGTAACTAGTAATTATTATATTTCATCCGAAAAACTCTTTACACATTATATTATCAAACATCCTTCCTAAAAATACACATGGACGAATAGGTGGACAGGATGGTGAATAGATGGACAGGGTGATGAATAGGTCGACAGGATGGTGAATATTTGAATAGGGTGGCGAATAGGTCGACAGGATGGTGAATAGATGGACAGGATGGTGAATAGGTGGACAGGATGGTGAATAGATGGACAGGATGGTAAATAGGTGAACAGGGTGGTGGACAGGATGGTGAATAGGTGGACAGGATGGTGAAAGGGTGGACATGGTGATGAATTGGTGAGCAGGATGATGAATAGATGGACCGGATGATGAATAGATGGACCGGATGGTAAATTGGTGAACAGGGTGGTGAATAGGTAGACAGGATGGTGAATAGATGGACAGGATGGTGAATAGGTCGACAGGATGGTGAATAGATGGACAGGATGGTGAATAGGTCGACAGGATGGTGAATAGGGTGGTGAAAAGGTGGACATGATGGTGAATAGATGGACGGGATAGTAAATGGGTGAAGAGGATGGTGAATAGGTGGACGAATAGATAGATGGACCGGATGGTGAATAGTGGGCAGGATGAATGTATTTTAATTTTACTACAAATACACATGGACAAATGGGTAGGCATGATGGTGAATATATTTTAATTTTACCACAAATACACTTGGACGAATGGGTGGGCAGGAAGGTGAATACATTTTAATTTTACCACAAATACACATGGCATGCATCGGGGGTGGGGTGGGGGCAGGATGGTGAATATGTTTTACCAAAAGAAAATACATTCTGCACCTATATATTATTTTTTTTGTTTTAAGAAATATTTATTTTTTAATAGAACCAATACGAGTAATGTAATCATGAGGATTTCATAAAAAAAGGGTCAATACTTACCACTCACAGCCAATACAGCACATACGAGGAGGGTGAGTACAATGACCTTCATTGTGTCTTACGTGAATGGTATTCGTTTAATGTGACTTGAATCAGTCCAGGTTATAACTATACTATTACAGTTATTTTCATGTAAAGTTTTCTTGGTAAAGATATAGATAACCAGCTGTTGTGACGGACATCAATAAAGATAAGAATATATTTATTTTTTGAATGGACATTAAAACCATTTATTTTGAAATATAATATGCCGTTCGGTCCGTCTTTATTAGCCAAGTCGGTGCAGAAAAGAAGGATGTTTAACCCATTTTATTTCATGTCTTCTCGTTATAATTATCTTTCAAGGACAACAAGACAAATAAATGTTTATACGATCATTGATTTCAATGGAAAATGATGTACATGTACAGATTGTTCAATCAATTAGAAACTATGTGCAAAGTTTTGTGTTTCTGGATCAAAGATATTTCTCATTAACAGTGATTAAAAGTTGAGTAAATCTTAACTGTTAGAATTCTGTTAGTATTTCTAGGAATATATAGTTTTCGGCAATACTATATACCGGTAAACACCGGAAAACTACCGGAAAACACCATGTTATACTGAATACCGGAAAACACTAAATACTGGAAAACACACTAAATATTCAGTATGACATGGTGTTTTCCGTTTGTTTTCCGGTATATAGTTTAGCCCAATCTAATAGGAGATTGCCTCTTATAAATAAAACCCACTATTTTCTCAGTACATGTAGGTCAAACGTCCAAGACCGTCTTCCTAGACAAAAACAATAAGGCATTGTTAAAGATGCCAATGGCATAAAGTAGAGCCGGCAATCAATTATCTTGGGGATTAGCTTATAAAGAACACTTCTGGATTTTTCCTGGGTGCATTCTTGTTTTGAGATCAGAAGCGCTTTAAAATTCGCCGAGACATTATCTGGAGACGATGCGGAAATCGTATAAGTCGCCACTTTAAATTATGACTTTAAAAGTATGTGAATTGTATTTTCTATCATTATTAAAATTTTAGAACTCAATAAGATATAAAGAGATACCTGTTTTTTTTTTTTTTTTTTTTTACAAATGTTTAAGTTTGTATACTCATTGTACAGTGTCTGCATTTAAAAGTACGGACGAGGTAGCTGGTGTTTAGACGTTTACGCGTGTTTAACTCTGTAATTGTATACTGTATGCAGTGTAGACACCGATGCTGCGATAACAAGGGGAGATTATCCTATAATCTGTGTTATTTCTAGAGTTATGAATGCAGATCACTTGTGTATGGAATAAGTAACTGACCACTAGAGTAAATAATACCTTCAACATTTTTCAACATTCTGGATGACTAATTCTTAGGTTAATATGTAATTACTTTAGTAACGAATTCTTAGAGAGCTGGTGCTCTCCTTTGTTACTGACGGATTCAATACACAAGTAATGTTCTAAGTCTATTTTGGGGTCTTTATCGTCTATTTTTCGCCGTGATTCTTCTTTGTTCGCCAAAAGGAATTTATAATAATCCATCACTAGTTTCATGTAGAATTTAGCGATCTAAAATCCAATCAAAATTCATTTGAAATGACCCGCCATTGTGAAAGTCAGTCTGCGCGCAGCCAATATTCCAAATTTAGGAATGGAATATTACCGTGAACGAAAATATGTTGCTATACAAAACAATAACTATTACATTATAATTTACAAGAAGAACACGACCTAGTGACATATTTATAGGAGCTAAACCTCTGACTCAATTCTTTTCATAATTACAAACACGAATTAGAATTCAATAATGGTATATTTCAATCAATATTGATGTTATTAACTTGTCGTGAAAATATAGTATCCTAATATCAAGTATTTATGACACTAATGGACATTAATGTTATAATCAGTATATGATTCATGTATTTTATGGTTTCTGGCGCCATTTGTAATGAACAAAGAAACATATATCCTTCAATACAATGCGGAAGTCATTAGTAATGGCTGATTCACAAACTTCTGAGTAATAAATGTAGAATTGAATAAGTAGGCGTAAACGACTGTCGTTCCAGTTGGGCTATTCATTTATTTCACCGAACATTATTGAATAGAAATTACAACATTTGTTTCACAAAAATTGAACATTAATCACTTTATGTACAGTCAAATTACATTATTATGTTTTTTTAGGTCCCAGAGAATAGAGCAATACACCCTTTAAGCATCGATGATACAATGCAAATATAACACCTATAAGGTCATTTTTGTCCTTATTGTCAATTGGCCATAATAAATTTCCAAGAATGATGTCAGTAAAATGAATAAGAAGTACGTTAGTGATGGTGGCTGTCGTTTATTTTTTTGTACTTTGCATTTATCTTATGCACTAAACTGAAGAAACAACACAGGGAAGAATATAGGTCAATTATTCGTTGACCGCCATCTTGGATCTTCAAACACTAGGTTACTCAAGTCTGCACCTCCAAATGAACTGATTCCATAGAAACCGGACATAAGCCAATAAACTATAAATACTTTCCTGACTATGGTTCAATCTGAATTGGTTTAAAAGGGAATAACAAGTTCCGTTCATGACCGGACGACAAGTGCTATTTCTTGTACACCTTTGGGAATTATATACCATCTGATCGTATTTGTGAAATAATTGGTATAAATGACGTCATTATGTATTTAAGGAGTGAGGTGAAATGACGAGTATATTGTGGGAAAATGGTAAACTTAGATTGGAACAGGGGCAATTACATATAGTTGGATTAATCACATATAACTAATTATAAATTCAGTGATTAATTTTTAATTTTTATTTCACACATTGATATATAATTATTGTAAGTATTTTAAGACATATAACAGGAGTTTCAACAGGTGATCGTATTACCAGAGGTATCAGTCCATACAGCAGAACAAGCACAGCCTTGTCTGTAATAATAATAATCACATTATTATAATAAAACAGAGAGAGAGAGAGAGAGAGGGGTTTAACGTCCACTCGACACTCTAAGTCATTTCGAGACGAACATATGGTTCAATTTTATTTCAATAATTTGCTTGCACGTATGGTCTTTAGCAGTGGGAGGAAACCGAAGGACCCGGAGAAAACCCACGAGGTTTGACAGGCGAAACTACTACTTGTCACGTACAAAAAACCATGGAAACGAAACCACGCCAGTTGACTCAATGACAGATAGTACAGCATAAGCCGAAATGAAATGAAGTTTAATTCACGTGTGCGTAGGGGTCATTAGCAGTGGGAGGAAACCGGAGAAAGTCCACGAGATTGGACAAGCGACCCTACTCCTTGTCAGTTTCAAGCGGCAAATCGAAACCACGCCACTTGACTTAATGACAGACCTTGTGATTTCATGCACACGTATTAAACCACTAGACCATCCCCACACACCACCCCATATAATAATACAACACTGGTCACATATTTTAATTTCTAAACCTTTATCGTCGAATTTCTTTAACCTATAAAATAACTGCATTTGAGGTGTACTTGGTGCTTTATTATACGTTATTTTGCAGTTGCTTGTGACGAGTGAGGGATATTACACTTTTGATTTATGCTGAAAAGAGTACAACCCTCGTGAAGAAACACACCGTAAAACAAAGACAACGGTGCGCGGCTTCGATGTTTCTTTTACACCGGATTTCGTAACCGGAGTTTTACTTTGACCAGCATAACCCCGAAGTCGAACTTTATCCATTACGTAAAATAATTCCATTTGTAGGGACATAACCATGATATATATTAGAACCGAGAAAGTTATCCAGGGAATCGTGAATTGAATATAATACAATATAATTTTTATTTGCAGGCAGTTAGATATGTTCATCTATTAGTCCATTCTGAGAATACATGCTTTTTACTTTGAAAAATTGCATGTATTCGAAAACATTGGATGTCATGAAATGGGTTTAACAAAATACTGGTTTGTATTTCTTGTTACATATGCAATACGAGGAAAGAGAATTTTGCTCAGACAACTACTAATTTTCGTCCCTTCCGAACGACTGTATACACTTTCCCAGTTTAGAGAAGTGAAAGCCTATTTTGAAACATCTCTGTTTCACAAGAAGATTTCCCATAACAGAAAGTTGCTACTGGTACCAGAGCCATATTGTTAATTCAAAAGTCAATACGATAAAACTGAAACATTAGATTTTATCTGTAAAGACAGTAAACCCAGACAAACACCACTGTTGCATATGCTTGGTGATCGTAATGCTAAATCGAAACCGACTTTTTTTTGCCCATATTTTGTAAAAATCTAGGGTTTACGTAAACTAAGTTAGTTTAAGAAATTGACTTAAAACTACCCCTCAACCAAAGGTCTCATCTTGAAGATTTTGGACGAGGTCCCGTGTACTCATTGGCGTGCATGTAAAACATCCCTTAGCAGATGTAATTCGATATAAGAGTAGGCCGTAGTGCCGCTATCCGGGCACAATTTCCCTCATAGCAAATAGTATGGTGTATGTCTGTCTTCATTAACCCTGCCAGTGCATGGTATTGATATAAAAATAAGATATTAAACACCTACCTGCAGGTAGCCCCAGGATTACCAGGACACATAGCAAACATACATGGATTGACGAAACACATTACCGTAACTTGACAGTTATTTAAACCACCTGGAAAACAAGAAATCCAAAGGAAAAATTGTATGAGAGAGAGAGAGAGAGAGAGAGAGTGAGATATTTTCAATCAATTTAATCAACACATAATTTTAAAAAAATAAGGTGTTAATAAAGAAACAAGTTTGTCTGCGAATTATTGGAAAAAGGGGCAACCCATTTATTATTAGAATATAATGAGATTCAACCAACCACAGATAGGTGAATTAGAGAAAATAGCTCAATACCGTGCGAAGGGAGATAATATGGGGTTTAACGTACAGGATGTAGACCACCATTACTTTTCCCATTGTCTTCAAATGTTATTTTTGTCTCTTTGCCCGGCGGCTCCATCTTTTCCCCAAATCTTCGTTGGGCTGAATGCTTTTCACTACAGACAGAGTAACAAATGGTCACCTCGTTGCACCAAATTTTGAATAGGGTTAACCACCAAAATTTTGAGATCGACAAACTTGAAGTAGCATACTAGAAACTCTTCGCTGCACATATAATCAACCTGTTAACTCTGTTATCCTTCGTCCTCTAAATCATGAATATTTAATGATGGTTTGTCCCCATATGGTTTATTTTTATTCATTCAAACACGCACAGGATCCTACGATTAAGGTAACCAGACAACACGGCGAAAATCAAAGAGATTAGGCAGGATACCCTACTCTGTCACGTACAAGCCTGACATCGAAACTCACTCAATAACAGATCACTCACCGGTCACCCAACCCACAACTTTGACAGGAAGAAATGTGATATACTTACCGAAATCAAGTAGCCTTTTGCTAGGTGCTCCTGTAATATAATTTAATCATGAATGAACATTGATTGTATTAACTATACGGAGCATGGAACAGACCTTGTGAACAATTGTAACTCGAGACCCGAGGAAGAAACGAAAGAAAGGGAAGCCAAAAGAACAAGGAATAGTGAGGACATTCATTGTATTTATGTCGATTTTCAAGTTTTACAAAAATAAATGCTAGATTCTACTGAAATAACAATGACGATTTTTCCCAGTGATCTTATCCAGGCATAAATGATTTTGACGACAAAATGGCTCATTTTTGCCAGACGTTCTCTTTCGGACAAAGGCGAATATTTTTGTGAAAATCTTACAACCCCACAAAATTGGACTTTTTGTGGCAAAAATGGTGTTTCGAGCCCATTCCTAAATGCTTAAAGATTTCAGTACTTCACTTGTCAAAGTATTCAATGGTGTTACAGGATTCACCAGTCCAACTGCAATGTCCATCATACATATTAGACATATTGATGGCTGTCATGTGCTGGCTGCCAACCACGTAAAAAAGCAACAAAAAGGCCAGGGACAGTGAAAACCAGATGATTCTAACTAAATTACTCTTAATTTGGGTGGCAAGGGCCCACGTATTAAAACATCCAAAACTTACCATCAACAGCTACCATGGCACAAATCACGACGGCTAGTACAGCGAATTTCATGATGTCTGCCTTAGATGAGACTGCTTCGTAAGTAAACGGGGTCAGCTCTGGTTGTAAATATCTGTTATTTAGGGGATTTTTTTAAAAAAAAAGAAAAAAAAAAGATTTCTTGCCAGATATATAGATAACCAGCTGTTGCGACACCCAGAAGTGACGATAAGACGTATTTTGTGTGGATTGATTTCAACATCTCCATTAGTCGGGGCACAACCCCCAGATCCGTGACCAAACAAAGTTTGACGATGGTTTCCGATAGAAGGGACCAGAGTGAAAATATCTGTAGTTTGCTACCTCTGAAATCTACGGACTAACTCCAGGAGAGCCGAAAATCCAAGATGACGACTAAAATTTGTTTTGAAACTGACCGTGACAAATATTGTTGGCTAAATGACCACTGTAATATATCATTTTATAGGTTTTGTTGGTCTCTCGAATCATTTTGGACGGTTTCCGATTTGTTTCACAAACGGTTGATCCAATATGGCCACTAAAATCCAAAATGACGACAGACATTGGCCCGAAAAGTATTCGTCTAATACACGTGTAATATGTCGTTCAGGGGGACGATAAATGCAGATATGCCATTTCCAAGCTAACTTGAAAGGAGATAGTATATACCACCATAAATTGTTCCAGATATCCATGAAACTTATCCTTCTTATATTACAGCTATCATAATACATTTTTAATGTACTATATAATTATGTATTCCATAGTATGACTCTTGAATCTCAGAAAATGCGTCATTAAGAGTCTGAGTTTTTTTGGGTCATCTATCGGACTGGTGCACTCAGATTGAGACGTTTTGTTATTTGGGAGATAACGACTTAGAAGTTGTTTTAAACGCTTAGATATAGAGTACTGTGTGTGTATCATATAGACAAACCCTTCATATTCACAAATTTCCAGCCATTCGAAAGAGGCGATGGTGGATTCTGGAGTCTGTAATGCAGCATATTGTATGGTTGATAGTTAGCATTTTTGACCTTTTTGCATAAAACTATCGCAATCTAGTGGAATACGCGTGGCACACACTACAAATTGTATGCTTCCAAGTCACTGAATAGGTCTTTTTAACTAATAATAGTGAGTACATCGGAATTAGTCTTTTAAAAGGGTATAGGCACCCAAGTCCCAAATAGGGGATATTGTATACAATATCTGCTACTCAAATGTCTACGAAACACATAATTCGAATGAATAGATTTTCTAAAACAACCTAAAGATATTATAATAGAGCTTCCCTGAGCAGTGAATTCACATTAAAACTGCACTTTTTCCTTGTTTTTTTATATTGGCGAATGTCGTTTTTTTCGATATTCAGACTTGAATAATTATTCAAGTGGCATGGTTTGGTGTCTTCATAAAGATGGATTGTGGCATAAATTTGATTGATATTGTCATCTTGTAATAATCAAAACTGAAAAATTGAACATTAACTTTCAAATACCAAAAGCGCAAAGTTAATGATCGCGGGCGGACAAAATGGTTATGTATTTCACGGAACCCCAAAACACCGGAAACCGTGCTTAGCCAATAAAACCTTAAAATAAGCCCTGGATTGCAGACACAGACGCAGGTCAACTCTCTTTAAACAAATGATTAGTAGATGCAATTAAAATGAACGTATTAAAGTCTAGTGTTTAATTTGACCAGCAATCAATTTCCGTCATATTAAAAATAAATAAGCGATTGAGGAAATATCGAAAGTTGAAAATGCTGTTGTGTTTCCGTCACCAGATATTTTTTACCTAGTACACGTACACTGTTTTTCCTTAGAATTTACAAAATGAATAATAGTGTACAAATAAAAGATGATATGAACGTCATGGCTAAATGGCTAGATTATATTTCCTTTAATTTTATTAAATTGATAGTAGTTTAAAAATTAATTCATATTCTTAATTTTGAAATACAATATAAACCACATAGACATATTATACATTTTCTTTTAGTGGATGTATTGAAATCAATCTTTTCACGAATATGGCAAGCCAAAGCGGAATTAATTGCAAGACCGTTTTTCTGCATGGAAAGAGAAAAAATCGAGTATATAACAATTTTTTCATCATCTTCCAAGCATTTTTATCTGTACAAAACGACGTATAAAGATTATTTTTTTTCCATTGCTGTTCTTGTAGTTTGTTATAGTCAAGTCAATTTATATATACTGTTCACGGAAATATTTTACCACTATATTCGGTTTTTATAAACAATTCAACAAAATTATTTTTCATATGTCAAGACAAAAAAAATACACATGTCAAGACGAAAAAATTCATATGTCAACACTAAAAAATTCACATGTCACGAGCACGTGACCACAAAAACCGATGATGTCACTGCAAACAAAGATGGTTGTTTTTCATTTTTTCTGGCCGATTTTTTTGCATTAAAAATGTCACGGAGAACACCTCATCCAGATGATGAAGTTGATTTTCTTTTATCCCTTCCGCGTTTTGCTGTTTATCGTCTGACGGTCCCGCCATTTTTTTCTTCGCACAAAGTTGATGACGTCATCGGTTTTTGTGGTCACGTGCTCGTGATATATGGACTCAGACTAGCAATTATTTGCCCATTGACTTCAATGTTAAATGACTGTAACATCACAGGCTGTAGCTTTTTGCTCAACATTCCGTTGGTTCCAATCTTTATAGGCACAATGGGGACAACATTTGGCAATCTCCTCATCATAATTTTGTAGGGGGTTGACCGTTTAGATTTTTTGCTACACGGATTTGAAGTTGACAGGGGTGAAAATCTCACTTCCGACACAATGATTGCTCTGCAGAAAGACACTTTACACCCCCTATCCCTCCGCTGTAATATCATCAGTATTACCCAAAACTGCTATGAAATTGCAAATTTGATCCCTTTTCTCCAATTCTAGACCAAAAAGTCAACCCAAAAATGCAGGAAGAGGGGAGAAAAAAATTAAGGGAAAAATTGTCTATTTATAACTCGCACTACATTCATGAAATAAGGGGAAATAATTACTAGTCTTAGACCTATATACCTCACATGTTTCTGCAGTTTAAACAAATCTGTTGTTATCTAATAAACAAACATATATGCAATTCCCTGGCCAAAGAATATGAAAATCTATGCATTTTCAGATGAGCTGTGCGGCATTCTGCAAACACTATAATACATCAGAAAACTGCGGAATTTCAGACAGAAATAAGGGGAAATAATTACTAGTCTTAGTCCATATGATTTTTTCCGTCTTGACATGTGACATGTGAATTTTTTAGTGTTGACATGAATTTTTTCGTCTTAACATGTGAAAAATAATTTGGTTGAAATGTTTATAAAAACAGAATGTAGTGTTAAAATATTTCTGTGAACAGTATAAAATCTTTATTGATATATGCTTATATACTCGATTTTTTCTCTTTCCATACAGAAAAAACGACCTTGCAATTAATTCCGCTTTGGCTTGCCATACTCGAAATTTTAAGTCTTATCTTTAACAGCTGGTTATCTCTATATCTAACAAAAAAAATTTACACGTTAAAAACCTTAAATAAGATATTTTTTTTAAGCTGGTAATCACATCTAAGTTAAACATGATGAAAGTCGCTGTATTCGCCGTCCTCATCTGTGCTATGGTTGCTGTAAATGGTAAGTTTGTTTGTACTAGTTTTCGTGACAGCTTTCATAGATACGAATAATCTACACACCATATCCAAAATTTAAATTATTTCATAATAAATGATAAATTATGGATAAACCATTTTAAAATGACTATGAAACCGCGACGACCCTAAATAATTAGGGTTCACTATTTGCCACCCGTTGATGACACTGCGAAAGGTTAGCATTACTGGTTCTGTCTTTCTGCAGTTGGTTATTGTATGTAGTTGACTGTCGACAATACAGAAAGAGTCGAACATTTACGGTTAGTGAAGCCTGTTAATATAGATAACTGGCCTATAGAACCCGTTATTGATTCAGGGCGGGGTAAGTTACACAGTTTTCGACCAAATACGTCTTGTACCGTCGTTTTAATTTTTCTTTTTTAACAATATTAAAACGAGCATTTGTGACAGGACAGTTGACCCGAGCGGTCTTTTCCACGCTATTCGAGTTACCACTCCCTTCCAATAATATTGATTTTTAAGAAAATGATCAAACCTTGATCCATACGATTGATGATAAGATCAACCAAATTATAATTACAGGAGCACCAAGCAAACGATTTCTCGAAAATTTTTCAACCGGTAAGTATCATTTGTTTTCTGCGCCAAGGATATTCTCCAGCCAGTCTAGGCAACATTCGGGCATGTATAAAGCATATGTTTTACATAGATATATGTGATATTAAAGTGATATACCGGGGAATGCCGATTGTCCTCGACTTTGAAAAACACCACTAGAACATATTATATCTTTCTCGGTTTGCTCACATTAATTGTCCCCCGCCTTTCGAAGAAAGCAGGGGACTATTAAAATGGGTTCGTCCGTCTGTCTGTCTGTCCGTCACACTTTTTGGGACACAATAACTATCTTCCTAATTGAGCTAGAATGTTCAAACTTGGTGTATGTGTTTATTAGGTCAATGCCTTGATGGAGTTCGAAGATGAGCATTTTCCGCTTAGGGTAAGCAGAGATAAGCAATTTGATTGGTTGATGCTTTGGGACACGATAACTCTCTTCCTAATTGGGCTAGAATGTTCAAACTTGGTGTATGTGTTGATTAGGTCAATGCCTTGATGGAGTTCGAAGATGAGCATTTTCCGCTTAGGGTAAGCAGAGATAAGCAATTTGATTGGTTGATGCTTTGGGACACGATAACTTTTAATTGAGCTAGAATGTTCAAACTTGGTGTATGTGTTTATTAGGTCAATGCCTTGATGGAGTTCGAAGATGAGCATTTTCCGCTTAGGGTAAGCAGAGATAAGCAATTTGATTGGTTGATACTTTGGGGCACGATAACTCTCTTCCTAATTGAGCTAGAATGTTCAAACTTGGTGAATGTGTTGATTAGGTCAATGCCTTGATGGAGTTCGAAGATGAGCATTTTCCGCTTAGGGTAAGCAGAGATAAGC